CCGCCGCCCGGCCCGCCGCCCTGCCCGCCGCCCGGCCCGCCGCCCGGCCCGCCGCCCGGCCCTACAGGTCACTGCCTGGCGGCCTCGGGGCGCTCTCAAGTCCGGCCCAGTCTCACAGAACGCAGCCCAGCTCGTCGAATCCAAGCGGAAGGTATTACCTTTATTTGAGCCTCCCTAGTAGTTATTATTATTGTTATTATTATTACTAATGGCGATCCGACTTTTATTCATGGCCCTTTGGCTGCCCCCTCCCTTCTTCTCCTCTCCCGGGAGGAGTCGTTGTCCCATTAACTTCTGCACAGGAACTGAGTGTGTGTGTCCCTCTGTCTGGCGAGTGAGACTGTTTCTCACGACCTCCACGCATACTGCCCATGGGCTCACATGGGCAAGGTCATGGGGAGCCTGAGCACAAAGCGTCGGTCGTAATCCTTCCGTGATCCCAATCTGCCTAATCCTCTTCTGGCCACACCCGAGATCCCACCCGTTCGCTTCTTGCCGACGCTATTCATAGACCGGGCGCACATCAGCGAAGGTGCCAATCGGAAATGGGCCGACAAAAACAGTTCAACGACAGACTAACGCGAACCTTCGATCAAAGTTCACACAACGTTCACATGTCGAAGTTTGTAAGCTGCTGTCAGAGTTCATATCGAATCTGATGTAAGTCAAAGTTGAAGCCTACACCGAAATCAATTGTTCTCAATTCTAGTAAAAAGTCTTAAATTTTTGAGAAAAACATCTTTGGAGCGTAAATAGAGGTTGAAGTAAGAAAATTTGTCTTGAAAGTTTAAGGCAAATCTCTACTTCAAGAACATAGTTTTGGGGTGTCTTCCGTGTTGGGCCATGTCGTCCTGCTCCTCCTCGGCCATCGTCCTTCCGGGTGGTGCTGACCGGACCAGGAGGTGCCGCCGGACCTGCCTGTGCAGCCGAGCCGAGCCGGCCAGAGCCGAGTCGGGTGCGTGATCAGGCGAGGCGCAGCAGCCGGCGCGCCGCGTCCTTGGGTGCGAGAGTCTCATTGCCGCACTGCAGCCGCGAGCGGTCAATGTCACCGGGATGCATTTCATAAGACACCCGCGTGTCGCGAGCCGATCGCGGCGGGGCGGCGGTTACCAGACACCTGCCTGCCCATTGAGACGGCGGCGCTTGCTCGCCCGCCGCGCCCGCTCCTTTTGTTCCTCGCATCCCGCTGAGGGATTTTGCGCACTTCATCATCATGCGCCATAGGGACGGTCCGGAAGAGGAGGAGGAGGAGGGGAAGTCATGCAGTTGAGCAAATTAGATTATGGCCGCTCCTCAAAGTATGAAAAAGTGCGTGCGCTGCGACACGTAATGGCCAGTGGTGCAGCCTGCAGCAGCAGCAGTCCCCCGCGCCAGCCCGGCCCGCCCCGCGCACCAACGGCGGATCGAATCTCGCTAGCGGCGGCGGCTCGGCTGCCTACCAATATTTTTCTTTTTGCGTCTTTTTCATTTCCTCGTCGAGTTTTTCGTTTTTCCTGCGCAGAACGTGCGCCTCAGTTACAAGTAGGCGAAAAAGACCGCCTCTTCCGCGTATCGTCCGCATGATCCGACCACACCGCCACTGCTTGCTGCTTGCCCTGCTGCGCTTTTCTTCTCCCCGTCTTTTTTATCTTTTTTATTTTTTTCCTCGTCGCCTCGTTTTCTTTCTGCTTGGTGCGTGGCGCGCCCGCTGTTGTGCCAGTCGGTAATGGGGCCACCTGACAGCGCGGAGCGTGAAGCGCAAGGTTGGGACGATCCTATAACATTCATTTTGAGGATGACACTTGTGTTTTTGATGTTCTTGCCCCTGAGTTTGTTTTACTGCGTCTCAAATCAATGCACTACACCGCTTCGCTTTTGTCCTCTCACTGTTGCGCCCACGTGAGCTTCATAGCAACAGCAATAGCGGTTAAGACTCGTAGTATATTGCCTTCTTTAATTATGCAGAAAAATAAAAATATATAAAGTAGTAGTAGTAGTAGTGCCGATAGAGTATCCCCCTCCTGCTTACGGGGCTGGACGCGTTGTTCGCAAACAG